CAAGAAAGCTTTTGACACAGTACCGATAAGAGACTGTTGCATAAGTTGGAGAAACCAGTTAGTTTAGTTCATTTATTATGCACCCCATACCCATCTTGTGGGCGGTAGTGGAAAGGGTTACAGAGGCACATAATGGGCTTAAGGACTGAACCCCACAATTCATTTAGCTAAGCAAGTTACAATAAACCAGCTAGAAAAAGTGGTAGGGTTCATCCGATGGATAAGCGAGTACCTAAACAACAGGAAGCAGAGAGTTACTGTGAGAGGGTGAGACCTCAGATTGGCGTGATGTCACCTGCGGAGTCCCGCAGAGTTCTGTACTCGGCCCTATCATGTTTCTGATATACGTGAAGGATCTTCCAGAAGGTATAGACTCGTTCCTCTCAATGTTTGCTGATGTTAAAATTATGAGAAGGATAGTTTGAAGACGGAGGAAGACTGCAAGAGACTGCTACAAGGATGACCTGGGCAGACTGAAGGAATGGTCCAACAAATGGCTACTAGAGTTTATCTCGAGCAAGTGCAAAGCGATGAAGATAGGCGTATGGAGCAGGAGGCCAAACACAAGGTACCAGCTGGGAGAGGAAATTCTTCAGGAGTCAGGACGAGAGAGAGATCTGGGGGTTGATATCACACTAGACCTGTCCCTTGAAGCCCACATCAAAAGGATAACATCAGCGGCGTATGCAAAACTGGCGAACACAGAACTGGCTTCAGAAACTTGTGTAAGGAATCCTTCAGAACCTTGTATACCTCATATGTCAGACCAATATTGGAATATGCGGCTCCATCCTGGAGTTCACATCTAGTCAAACACAAAACGAAGTTGAAAAGGGTTCAGAGGTATGCCATTAGGCTAGTCCTCAAGCTGAGAGGAATGAGCTACGAGGAAAGATTACTGGAACTGAACCTCACGACACGAAGACAGGAGAGTTATGGGAGACATGATCACTACCTACAAAATTCCCGGAGGAATTGACAGGGTAGATAAAGATAGTGTTTAACACAGGTGGTACGCGAACAAGGGGACACAGGTGGAGACCGAGTATCCAAATGAACCACAGGGACGTTAGAAATAACTTTTTCAGTGTCAGAGTAGTTAACAGATGACATTAGACAGTGATGTGGAGGAGGCTGACTCCATACACAGTTTCAAATGTAGATATGACAGAGCCCAGTAGGCTCGGTAATCTGTACACCAGTTGATTGACGGTTGAGAGGCGGGACCAAAGAGCCAGAGCTCAAGAAGTTGCCAGTATATACTTGTAGCAGCACAAGAACAGCTAGGCGAGTACAAACGTATTATATACAGTGAGAAATCAACTTACCTTCTATGTTAATTTCTACTCCTTTGACGGTCGCAGCCTATGGCTCGTCCTATCTCGCACAATTTCGTTTCCCATATCGGAGACAAGAAACCTGTTAGGCTTATAGATATCTCCCTCTAGGCCTAGCCCTAGAGTTTAGGCTGTGGTTAACAACCAACTTCTCCAGTTTTCCCACAACCAGTCCCTCCGACGTCAGCGGGAATCGAACGAGGGACCTGTCGGTAGTGAACCGACTACGCTTACCAATGCAATACAGAGTCAATTTTCATCGATAATTCTATCGTATCATTAAGCCTGATGCGATCTATAGGATACAGATAACACGTGGCACCTTGATTATTCAACACCTACAAGGATACAAGTGTCACATTGATTATTCAACACCCAAGGGGATACAAGTGTGTGGCACTCTGAGAAAGGCAGGCTGGCCTCTCCCCGTCCCACTGGTGGAGGGGGAACTCTCCCCGTCCCACTGGTGGAGGGGGAACTCTCCCCGTCCCACTGGTGGAGGGGGAACTCTCCCCGTCCCACTGGTGGAGGGGGAACTCTCCCCGTCCCACTGGTGGAGGGGGAACTCTCCCCGTCCCACTGGTGGAGGGGGAACTCTCCCCGTCCCACTGGTGGAGGGGGAACTCTCCCCGTCCCACTGGTGGAGGGGGAACTCTCCCCGTCCCACTGGTGGAGGGGGAACTCTCCCCGTCCCACTGGTGGAGGGGGAACTCTCCCCGTCCCACTGGTGGAGGGGGAACTCTCCCCGTCCCACTGGTGGAGGGGGAACTCTCCCCGTCCCACTGGTGGAGGGGGAACTCTCCCCGTCCCACTGGTGGAGGGGGAACTCTCCCCGTCCCACTGGTGGAGGGGGAACTCTCCCCGTCCCACTGGTGGAGGGGGAACTCTCCCCGTCCCACTGGTGGAGGGGGAACTCTCCCCGTCCCACTGGTGGAGGGGGAACTCTCCCCGTCCCACTGGTGGAGGGGGAACTCTCCCCGTCCCACTGGTGGAGGGGGAACTCTCCCCGTCCCACTGGTGGAGGGGGAACTCTCCCCGTCCCACTGGTGGAGGGGGAACTCTCCCCGTCCCACTGGTGGAGGGGGAACTCTCCCCGTCCCACTGGTGGAGGGGGAACTCTCCCCGTCCCACTGGTGGAGGGGGAACTCTCCCCGTCCCACTGGTGGAGGGGGAACTCTCCCCGTCCCACTGGTGGAGGGGGAACTCTCCCCGTCCCACTGGTGGAGGGGGAACTCTCCCCGTCCCACTGGTGGAGGGGGAACTCTCCCCGTCCCACTGGTGGAGGGGGAACTCTCCCCGTCCCACTGGTGGAGGGGGAACTCTCCCCGTCCCACTGGTGGAGGGGGAACTCTCCCCGTCCCACTGGTGGAGGGGGAACTCTCCCCGTCCCACTGGTGGAGGGGGAACTCTCCCCGTCCCACTGGTGGAGGGGGAACTCTCCCCGTCCCACTGGTGGAGGGGGAACTCTCCCCGTCCCACTGGTGGAGGGGGAACTCTCCCCGTCCCACTGGTGGAGGGGGAACTCTCCCCGTCCCACTGGTGGAGGGGGAACTCTCCCCGTCCCACTGGTGGAGGGGGAACTCTCCCCGTCCCACTGGTGGAGGGGGAACTCTCCCCGTCCCACTGGTGGAGGGGGAACTCTCCCCGTCCCACTGGTGGAGGGGGAACTCTCCCCGTCCCACTGGTGGAGGGGGAACTCTCCCCGTCCCCCTGGTGGAGGGGGGACCTCTCCCCGTCCCACTGGTGGAGGGGGGAACTCTCCCCGTCCCACTGGTGGAGGGGGAACTCTTCCCCGTCCCACTGGTGGAGGGGGAACTCTTCCCCGTCCCACTGGTGGAGGGGGAACTCTTCCCCGTCCCACTGGTGGAGGGGGAACTCTTCCCCGTCCCACTGGTGGAGGGGGAACTCTCCCCGTCCCACTGGAAATCCTGTGGTCATGCGTACTGGAGTTGGGGGCCCAATTGGGAATATTTTCGGCGGGGCCCCAAGGTTCCCAGCCAAGTCTGTTTTAGTGTAAATATTTATTAAAAGCGTTACCTTTATATTTTGTTTAGAAAGAGTCAAAACGTAAGTGAACAACACTGTTGGAAAAAAAAAAAAATTTTTGATTTCTTAAAACTATTATAAAAAGTCCTTAATGTCTGACTGGTATCTGTATTAGCATAATGAATTCCGCAGACATAAACATTAGCCTGCACGCTTGTTAGATTATGACAAGCCTTTACAGGTTTGCCTCTGTTAGAAGGCGTTTTACTTAACAAGGCTTGAAGAAATGACCCCTAGCACAGGGCCCAGTTAGAGACACTAGTCCAGTTGTCTTAAAACCGGCCCTAAATTCATGTCATAAATAATGACCACACACTTTTTTTTTACACGTATTGGGTACCGGAGTAGACACCAGACTCCCGTTAACAGGCTTAGAGCTTTTGTTTCTAATACCCCATGAATCACACAAAGGGATGAGGCAGCTCAAGCTATTCTCACCCCGTTCAGTACATCGTGTTCATACATATATATACACACACATCACAAACAATAAACATATTGCCAAACATTCTGAGAAATAAACATATACATTTCCTCCTTTACACAAGTAGTATGGTATCAGACTTATAATACCCCATGAAAGGTAAGCCATACCTTCTACCTTTCCCCCCCTGGAACACAACCTGTCAACCGGTTTAACTCCCAGTTCCCCAGTGACTGGTGGGTGAACCGGGGTGAGGCTTTATGAATTGGCTCCTAATCAATCCCTCCCCGGGTTGTATTACGCGCGCGTGTATCATGTGTGTGCGTGTATGTCTTAACTACTAAGCTAACTACTGACCGGGGTGCAGGGGGACATAATGGAGCTGGGGAAGGGGACATACTGCAGCCTGTCCTCCAAACAGGCCCAAAAGTGATTCCATGCACTCGCCAAACCCTCTGTTTAAGAATGAAAAACGGTTTACACACGACTCGCAACTGATTTCGTTCGAACACTTCCGGAACAAGTGCTTCACTGACGAATTTTGTTCGAATCACAACGCTGTAAATGCTTCACCCACGTACTACAAATAATCGCCAACAGAACCTAAACACCTAACCTATGCCTACATATGCACAATATGCTAATATATTATAATATTAATTTATTTTTGAAAAAAATCCCATTTTGAATTAGCAGCATGTTAAAATGGATGAATGCGTCTGTGGGGTCGACAGCTGGATGTAATGGATGAACTTAAGAGTCGAGGACGGGTTACATACTGAGGGGGGGGGAGCATACTGAGGGAGCGGAAGGGGGGTGGGGATCAGCTCAACAATGATGGAGCCGGCACACTGTCCTCCACACTTCACCATTTCTAATGCGTGTGCACGTGCACAGTTGTGTTCGTTCCCTCGCATTAACCTGTAGTGTCAAAGTTGAGGTTCAGCTCCTGGGTCCTGCCTCTTTTTATCTCTCGCTCAACTATTCGTTTAGTCCCTAAATTCTTGATACCGAATATCTCTGTCCATGTACGAAGTGTCCTATTCAATTTCTTCACCGTCTTCACACTGACGAATATGATGGCCGAGCCAGGCTTTGAATGGTCGAGACGGGACAAGTAGAGATTGACATCACGGCCACAGTAGAGGCCAGGCCGCCTTCCTATCCAGTAGTGTACCAGAGGGCGATAAGAGGTGCTGAATGTGTAGGTGTATACTTGAGATAATGGTGCTTCTACTTCATGCTGATTGGTCGACTAAAAATCGGGCATGTTGTCTTAGACTTTGAAGAAAGGCTGTAATGCTGCCAACTTGAGGGCCAGTCATAATAAATATCATTTGACCTAGTCGACCTCGGGACTGCCCAGTCGACTTCAGGTTTAGTCGCTCTGTGATCTACTAAACTTGACGATGCAACCTACCTTTCGACGGGTGTGGGTGTTAAACACTTCAAGACCTGGTAAGTACACGAGTTGAGTGGCGGAACTGGGACTCTGTACCACTTCTAGGCATTGTGCATTGCTTCAACACTCTCCCTTTTAGTACCACTAAATTTATTGCTACTGTGGCTTGGGTTTTTGTTCTTCGGCTTTTATATTTACTAATTAGTTCAAACACAGTTTTAAGCTTTGCTTATAACGCTGTGCGTAATTTAGGGGCCTAATAAAAAATAGTACTACTATCACTAAGAAATAATAAGCCTTTTTTTCATTATCATTCTCTAGTCACATCTTACCGTTGAAGGCACGGATCTTAGAGATTGCTGTTATGATATTAAAACTGATATTAATTCTTAAGTGCCAGGGGCACTCTGGTGAACACGTTCATCCACTACTTCCCTCCGTCCTATGCCAGATCCTTGTCTTTGTATTTCTTTCAAGTGATGTATAGAAGCAGCTTAGCACTTTTTCCTGATAACTACCCTAAGTTGTCTTTGTGAGGCGTCAACTACATCGCCTGGCTTTCTTCCAGGACGTCACGTGCTCGCGGAGCCCGTCAGGAGCCTTCGTCCCATTCCCCTGCTCCAGAATAGTTTCCATGTCCTCGACACCAGAGCCTCAACTGAAGCTAATAATTATCCTGCCACTCTGCAGTCTTTAGCCTGGCAGATGTCTCACTAGCTCCCCCCCCCCCTCACTTGTTACATCACATCACTTCCTCCCTGTATAACACTGACATTTTGAGATGTATAACATTAGAAGCTATTGACAGTCGTCTTCAAATTCTCAAACCGACTGAATCCTATGCCTTTACTGATGGCTCTGTGCAGTTAGGCACTGGTAGAACAGGTTGTGCATGTGCAGTATATAAAGGGAATGAAATGATCATGACTAGTACACAGAGATTGAACAACTGGGCAAGCACGACACAGACCGAGCTATTGGGCATTTATCTAGCCACTGAATACCTTAAGCTCAATGGTGGTGGAGTTATTTTCTGTGACTCCAAAAGTGCTATGCAGTACGTAAATAACCCATCACAATGTATGTCGGAAGTAGCTTGTAATATTAAATGGAATGTAATTTTTGCCAATGATGATAACTCTTGTATAAAATTTGTGTGGATTCCATTCCATGTTGGAGTTGGAAAACATGACTTTGTAGATCGATTGGCCGATGAGGCTTGCAGGAAAGAAAACATTGATTATGACTTTGTACTATCTAATGCAGTTATTAGAAACATACAAATTAAAGAAATTAGTTCAGATTTAGAAGAACTAAGAAATGCCCAGAGACCTGAAAGCTGCAGTATTAAAAGTTATGACAAGTTTTGTAATAATAGGTATTTGTATGGTCAGCACAGTAACCGAACCAGGCAATGTGATGTAGTCATTGCGCGAATTCGCCTTGGCTATAGACACATCTGACAGGTTAGTGAGGCTGAGCCACTACCAGACTACTCAGATTGTAAACTCTGTGATAAACCTTTAATGCATTCACTAGAACACTATATTGATGAATGTGAAACCGTAAAGGACTTTAGACCTCCTGGCCTCTTGCACCACCAACTGTGTAACTATTTTATTGACTCAGGTGTTCTGGATGACATCCTAACCATTTATCCAAAATTTGCTTGTCCATTTTAAAGAATGAAGAACAATTTTTATTTATATTACTTCTAAGCTGCATCACTTATGAACCCATCCCTGCCCTTGTGTGGCAGTGCACAGTAGAAAGTTTTTTTCACATATCCATACATTAAAACATTGATTGTAACCATGATATATATATGTGCTTCAGCCTACAGTTTAGACCTATTGTCTTATGTATGACCCTCTGTCCTGCGTGACAATGAATACCAGCATTAACCTCACTTTAATTAGACTATCAAAATCCTCAGATTAGGCAAAATTGTAATTAATTTTGTCAATAAAGATGTTAATAATAATAATCACTTCCTCCCTGCTTTGCTATCTCTTTGCATTTCCATTGTCAATGCGGCCTCTTTATGAATCCACATCCACTTTTATTCTTCCCCCCTTCATTTTGACCACTCGTACTGCCCACAGTTGCGACTCGTGTCCATCCCTTGTATTCGTCACCGACTGAGTCTGTTGTTGACATTTGCAAGCTGCATTACGACTTCCATTATCTTCCTCTGGTCAGATGCGTAAGCCAGATCTCCTCCCTCCTTCCTAGAGGAAAGGAAGACTCGTTGGGAACAGTCCCGTGTACTTTCTCCTTAACTGAATCTACATGAGTTTGTTTCCTTGCCCCTGCGGGCCCATTTTCAATGTTTATTTACATTTGCCACCTAACCCTGATTTCGTAATTTCCAACTTGGTTACCTCTCATTTTTCCTGTATCCTTCTTTGCTTATGCATTGTTTGTCTATTTTCGTTCTTACCAAAGGTCAAATATTCAATGGAATATACGCAGCTTTTTTTTTTTTTACAAATTTTTCTGACCTTCAGCTTGAATTTTTTTTGTTTTTGTTTACAAGTTTTTCCGACTTTCAGCTTGAAATTTCTAATTTGTGTGTGTGGACCTGTCTCCAGGAACCGGTGCTTGGTGGGCTTAGTCACTTTCATGGCTATGCCTTTTGTAAGCTTACCTCAATCTTTAAAATGGTTATCCTAGCACCGCTTGTCTTTTTGAATCCGAATTATGTTCACTTTCTTCCCTTTTTCGTCGAACATACATTCAACTACTACTCGCATGTTCGTGCAGGTCTAAAAGCTGCGTAATTACATTACAGCAGATTGATGAAGAAAAGGACCTTGGAGTCAAAATCCGCTACTCAATGACATTTGCACAGCAGGAAGGAGCAGTAGTAAAAAAAAAAACACTTGGAATAATCAAGACCTTGGGTTATGAAGGTACTGATTCAATTGCATAAATCTCTAGTGCGCCCCCATTTGGTTTATAGTATCCAAACATGGAGACTTCATCTTCAGAAGGATATAGGTGCTTGCAAGGATACTTACACTTGGTTAAGCTCGTTCCTGATAGCAGCTCTTAAAGATCCTTATTGACCTGTTATCATATATTTAACTACAGGAATCATAAATAAAACCATTATAAAAAATAAAATGCGGAACACCAGTTTACTCTGTGAAGGGCACAAATAAAATACACCAGTACAGACAACCTTAACAATTAATAATGTTTATAGGCTTATGACCACTAACACACGTTAATATATACAGCTTATTAATAAATCACATGAATACCAGACTCATTGCAACACGTAAAACACAAGAAAATTAACTACCCCTACTTCAAATGAACAAATCCACAAGGGCCGTGACGAGGATTCGAACCTGCGTCCGGGAGCATCCCAGACAGTGCCCCTACTTCAGTGTCACGTCAGTTCAACACCTGACGCACATTCACTCAGATTTATTATTGACGGGAAGGGAAGGGAACTATCGGGGGTAAGCGCCAAGCCCTTACGACTATATAGCACTTGGAAGGGGTCATGATAATGATTAGGGATGGGACGGGGGAGAAGGAATGGTGCCAAATCACTTAGACGGTCGGGAATTGAACGCCGACCTGCATGAAGCGGGACCGTTGCTCAACGCTACTCAGATAAATGTATCCACACACCATGTAAATATAATCCCATAAGCTCCACTTTATACAGGGATACACACTGCCATACAGTTCTAAACATAAGTATATAATATATTAGACATGCAGGCAACAACAACTCGTATAATTATACTAATTATACTGTAAATAATATCTAGTCAGTGACACGCACATCTGGTACCACTGACTCTCACCTCGGCCCGATCGTGATAAATACACGTCCAACACAGGACCACTTGTAGCCCCCTCCCCCCTAACCAACTCTTATACAATATAATACAACAGTACAAGGCAACCGCAATACAGTTAAATGAAATAAGAATATGGTAACATAACATTATGATATGAAACCAGAAATATGGACAACTAATACATATTTAATTGAGGGAGGATGAAATGTATAAATATGCATAATTTGAATAGTTAGTAACTAGGTAAATATCTGGATCATAACACTGCTCTGGAGAAAGTGCAACACCGGGCAACAAAAATCATTCCAGAGCCAAGTCAACTCACGTATCAGGAATGGTTGAGGGCCACAGGGCTAACACCACTGCAAATACCAGGCATGACGACGGATCTCAACGAAACTTTTAAAATGGTGAACAATTTGAAAGCAGTTGATCTGGAAAATTGCTTTAAAAGGTCAGATGTAACACAAACAAGGAGCAACGGTTTAAAGCTTAACAAACCACAATGTAGGATTGAGAACAAGAGATGCTTTTTCACCCGTAGGGTTATAGACCCATGGAACCGCCTACCAGCTGAAGCCGCAAATACCAAAACTCTGCTAACCTTTAAAGTACAGCTGGAAAATACCATAAAGACAAATGGGGGGACCTTCGACAAACCGCCGGCTTCATGTCCTCGTCGAGGTAACTAGTGTTAATGGCTCTTGGGTAAAAACAAAACAAAAAACAGGAAAATTGGCAAATGAAGTTCTCTTATCTTAGTTAATCTTGGATTAACAGATAAACATAAGAATTAAGGAATTGCAGACTAAATTAACTTATAAGCGGGATTAATTACTCGTTTACTGGATTGTCCGCATCTATTAACATAACACCTGTTGATCAGTTACTAAAAGGTTTTTAATGTTTCAATGTACCCTCATGCTAGTCTTAACAAGCCTCGTCTTCCTTAGTCCGACAAAAATATAAATTCGCTGTAAACCTTGCTGGTCCATTATAATTGCATTGAGACAGGATGTCACCTACTGTGACTGAATTAATGCTCTGTTTGTTAACACGTAACTTCCTCACATTCAAGAATAGAACTGCCACATTACCTGCAGGTTAGTCTAATTAATCTTTTATCAAAATATTACATTTTTTATTGCAGGTTTGCTGTGGAGAATGGCATCAGCACGAGTGATGATAGTGCGTGGATCCCTGCTGTTGAATGCTGTGCTGGTACTGTACCTGTGTCTCTCATGGCTGTCCACCACGCCTACCCGCCCTGGATCGCTAACAAGAGACTTCTCTTTAGGCACACCCAATTCTCTTGATGGCCATCATGTTGGTTTGGGAGTCATAGAATTTAATGATGGGGTTAATACCAACGGTGAGGGTGTTAGCCAGAATTATGTTCCTCTGGAATTACCTCCACCTGAAGCTGTGGGTAATGGGCTGAGTGATAGTGAAGTAAGAGACATCTCTCTTGGTGGACGTCGAACACTCGGGCAGTTGCCTGAACAAATACGGCAGGAAGGTGTGAAGAAGGTAGTTCAAGGTGACATAGAGCCAGTGCCTCAAGTAGGTGTAGAGCAGATACCCCAGACTGGAGGTGTAGAACAGGTACCTCAAGGTGGTGTGGAAGCTCCTGTAGGGGAACAAGAGGAGCCTCCTAGGGAGGTCCAAGAGAGTGCAGGAGTGACTGAGCAGCTAGTTGCGGAGCCTCTTGCTATGGAACCTCCTGACCCTCCACTGGATTCCATGGAACGCAAGATATACCCAGACTTACGAGAGTGCTCCACCAGACCACAGCGTCCTTTCTACTACCAGCGGGGTGACTACTGGGTCTTGGAGAATTATATTCCTGCTGCCCTTTCCTTTCGCTGTGATGAGTCCATCACCTACACCACTCATGCAGACTACACCTTTCTTGATAACCTAGAACCTCTCACCTCTCGCTGGCAGGTCAGTTAACATAGTTTTAGACTTTATCCCTCTACATTTGATAAAACGTTTCCATAGTTTGTTCAGTTGATCTCTATTTGTACCGTATTCAGAATATAAAAATATTCAATCTTCACACACTACAGTACTTATTAAAAAAAAATACAAAAATATATTTATCATGCTGCACAATGTAAGGAATCTACCATACACTAGTACATACAACAATATACTGTAAACGAAACCACACCAAGACACTTTAGGGATTACATATCTTAAGCTTAATATAAATATATGAAACAGACCTGTCTGTATTTCTGATGTGTATTCCCCAAAATATATTTATTTTGCATATTTAATAATAATAATATAGAATATAAACCCGCCCCTTGTGCATTTGTGAAATTTATGTAAGGAATTTACACCTAGTCTTTTGCACTCCTGAGTGCTTTGTCAAGGTCTGAGTGTGTGATTAGGATGAGACTTGCATCTCAATGTCTAATGAGCTGAGATGCAATGTCTAGTGCATCTTTGCTCATTAGACGTTGAGATGTAAGTCTCATCCATATCACACACTCGGATCTTGACAAAGCACTCAGGAGGGTGCGAAAGATTAGGTGTAAATTCCTTACATAAATTTAACATACACAAGTGTGGGGTTTTTATTCTATGTTATTATGTCTGTAAGAAGACATTACCATTACTACTACTACTACTAATAATAATAATTGATTTTTTTTTATAAATCTGCAAATACATAGGTACAGTACTGTCTTTATATTTTTTATAAAACGACTAATTATTCGGTGTTTCAGGTATACTTTAATGTATTGGTACATTTTAGGGTTGTACTTAATACTATGAAATGCAAATTATCATTAGAATGTAAATGAAAATTAATATATTTTGCAAAATGAAAGTTTTCTAGTGATACGTAAATACTGAAGGGCATCTAAGCCTGTTAATAATAATAAAAAAAAAACTTACATTAATTAGGCTGTACTGTAGCTTTAGGTAACTATTATAAAAGTATATTTACAGTAGAATATTTAACAGTAACAATACTGTACCCGCTTTTGATCTTTTCCAGTTGCATTTTAAAATTTAACAGGTTTGGCATTTACAGCTTGGGTGTGTAGATAGTTCCATGGGTTTATAACCATGTGGTTAAAAAAACATCTCCTGTTTTAAGTCTTGCTCCTTATTTGTGTTACATCTGACATTTTAAAGAAATTGTCTGGGATGATCATCCTCTAAATTGTTCAATATTTTAAGTTTCAATGAGATCCATCCTGTCATGCCTGGTTTGCAGTGATGTTAGCCCTGTGGCCCTTAACTGTTCCTGTTACACAAATTGACTTGGTTCTAGAATGATTTTTGTTGCCCAGTGTTACGTTCTCCAGAACAGCTATGTCCTTCTGAAGATGAGGTCTCCATCCTTGGATACAGTAATTCAAATGGGGGCACATCAAAGATTTATAGAATTGAATTACTGTACTGGACCTTTTCCTTAAAGCAAATGGTATGCTTGATTATTGAAAGGGTTTGGTTAGCTTTTTTGACTCCTGCTCCTTCCTGTTGTGCAACTTTCAGTGAGTGGAGAATTTTGATTCAAAGGTCCTTTTCTTCATCAATCTGCTGTAATGTAGTGTTATTAATTTGATAGTTGTGGCATGGGTTGCTATGCCCCACATGCAAATTCTTGCATGTGTCGACATTAAAGAAACATTTGTCAGTCTTCTGGAGTTCATATAGATCTCTTTGTAAGGCCTCAATATCATTATTATTTCCTACTTTACCATAAGTCTTTGTCATCTGCAAACTTGATGAAGTGGTTCTCATCTATATCATTGATGTACAGTACAGTACAGTACTGTATATGACAAAAAGGGTTGGCCCAAAAATTGGACCCCCCTGTGGTACCCCACTTACCATATTTGCCAGTTAGATTCATTGCCATTTAATTCATCCCATGTGAAACATATACTACTTGATGTATAGCTTTCATTTTTAGGGAATAATGTTTAATATTATATTAGATGTAAGCTGCCATATATTTATCTCTAGACATTTAAAATTCCTGACATGTTGTTCCTTGGTTTGATAAATTACTTGTTCTGCTGCCAAGTGGGCCTGCATTCTGAATACTTATGAGCCAGGATATTGTCGCCTTGGTTCGATGCAGAGTTTGTGACAGTTTAAGGAGTAATCAGCTTAAACTCATTGTGAAAAGAGCTTTGTTCTTTTCTCCTGATCATGCTATTCTTAATGGATCATTACCATTTGTGACTTATCCAACGACAGTAAAAAGCTAAATTTTCCTTTTACATATATGAAATAATTTTTTTCAGATATATTAAGTTTCCATTATAAGATGTAATTAAGATCTGACTTAAGAGTATGTATATACATGTTGTACATTGCAGGATTTGTATATTTCAGGGTCCTGTAAGTGTGGCAGTGTATGCACCTGGGGATGATTTTAATGCCACCATCAACACTATTCTTTATCTGCGAGATTGCTGGGCAGAGGGCATAAAGAAATATGTCACCTTCCATCTATTTTTTCATGTTTCTCATACACCTAAAAAGGTAAATATTTAGTTACAGTAAGTATTCCAGTGAGTTGTACCATGCAGATGTTAGTTGACAGTCCAGATTCTATTATGAATGTCATATTTCCAGTGTAAAGCAGAAGAGTAGATGCCTTTTACAATTGTCATTCAAAGTTAACCACTCGACTACATTACTTCTCAATGCAAGATTTTGCTGACTCCCAGCTAGGATCAACAGTCAGAATAGGTTGATTGCACATTACAATGAGGAATGCCTCAAATTGTTCTTGCCAGATCATAATTGGTCAGTAAATTATTGCCACAGCATTAATAACCCTGTAGATGTTAATAGGCCTTGGGCCCAATACCACTACCTAGAGTTCCTGTAGTCAAAGTGTGTAATTTTTGTTTGTTTTAATTGTATTTGGCAAGTTTGACAAACTTTGAACCATATTTATAACCATATAATGTAGATGATATTTGAAGACAAGAGAAGTACAATACATAAAGCAACTGATAAGCAGAGCATTTCAGGCATAACCTAAAATAATTTGGAGAATAATATACAAGTGTAATGGGCTAACACTTAACACTAAATGAGATACAATAACATTTTTGAATTGCTGAAAAGAATTAAACTGACAGTTTTTAAGATGTATTTAGAAACTGCAGTTTTTACAACAGTAGAAACAGAGTAATTAATATAATAATTGTTCCACTCAGGTTCCACTCACTTACATTTGTCTATATTCAATGGTTCCACTCAATGATTTATACTCAGTGCTATGTTAATTATTTAGCAGGTTCCATCCAGTGAAGAGTTATTGAAGAGGAAGACTGACTGTGCCCTGGAACCCCCTCGTTGGACTAACATTACTACATACAGGCAGCAAAAGAAATTGTTGTATCCTGTCAACATAGCGAGAAATACTGCTAGACAAGCTGTTCAGACCTATTTTGTTTTTCCATCAGATGTAGAATTGTATCCATCAATCAATTTCATTCCAGGTACGTTTCTTAATTACTGAACTAGAATCCTTTTGATACATAAAGTTCAGTACCTTGGAAGGAATCTTGTTTGCACTGATTTTTTTTTTTACGTAGGAAGACTATCTTTAATTATGTTCTACAGAGATTAAAGAAATTCATTCCTTGATTCTTCCACAAAAGTTTTATTTATTGTGCATCATCAAACTTTACACATATCTGCATGTATGTCAATTGGCTTATTTATGCTGGTTTTGTTTTCCACTTAATCTTGTTGGAATGACGACGCCTGTTTTTTTTTCTCTCTTAAACCTCATATTACTTTAATATTTACTCTTTAGTATTATTATACTGTGTTCATATTCCAGATTTATATAAAAATTAACTTAAGAGCATAATATGAAAAATGGCTATGAAAATCGTAGACTATTGCCTACGTTTATGTTTATGGTTTTTAGTAGATTTTTTTTTCCCAAATCTGTTTTGGGTTGATCCCTCATCACCCAAACTTTCCTCCTCATCGTAGAGTGTGAGCTTCTATCCCTGGCTCTATAGGTATGGGTGGGTCTTGGGGGGGAGGTTGAGGCCTGTTGCATCTTTTTAAAAGATATAGCTGCACCTGCACATAGTTTGGGAAGCTACTGAAGGCTCCACTAGCAACATTCCATACTGGTACTTGATTTGTATGAATTCAAATATTATTGTAATTAATATTATACTAATGAAATATAAGCAATGCTAGTTAATAACAAAATTATCATTAACTAGCAATGATAATTGTATCTAATAATGATACCATTATCATTATTAAGTCTTGCTGCTAAAGCTAGTTAAAGAAAATGTATACTGTACCTCAGAAATAGATTACCTATTAAAGTAGAAGGTACAGTATTAATCTAGTAAGATTTAACTTTTTGTAAATCCATTAATCAACAGGGTAGTCTACTGGACACAACTGCTTTAGTTTTCTTTCAGTAATAAGTATACTTCTAGGCCTGATGTAGTGTGATGATTATTTTCATAAATTTATATAGGGTAATGATGGAGTTTGTTTATAGCAGCAGCTTTTGCCTCTGTTTAAATGCCTCAAGTTAGTGTTCAGGCAAGTCTTTAAGATTTAGTTACATCATTGTAATTTGACCCTTAGACCGCACATATTACTGTGAATATAGGGGGTATAATTATGAAAAATATTCAAATTATGTAAAAATAACTTAAAAATGTTAAACAAATCTCCAACTTATTGGCTTCAGTGTCGTGAAACAAATTGATTTTAGACGAATTTTTGAAAAATAAGAATATTTTATTAAGGAGAACAGCTCCTAATAACTGCAACTGAAGCAGTAATAGAGAGATGCAAGCACCTGTCCGACACTCAAAGAAGAACAATAGTAGTAAGAAGTGTCCACAAAGTGGATATGCAGCTGGTGCCTTTATATCATTGCTGAGTAATACATAATAACACAAATAATAATGAATAACTATGTTAATATGATCTATTTTGTTATATATCATATAAATACATTGCCCAATGTTAATATGTTACTTTCATCAATGTCTCAAAAAAAATATTTTTAGGGGATTTTTTTTTTTCAAGATTTTACTTTTTTTCTCCTTTGTTTATTATCTGATTCTGTTGTAACCTTTACATCCTGGAGAATGCATATGTTTTCATAACAATTTGAAGATAGAATGAAATTGGCCTACAAATAAATCGGTCACAACTCGCAAAACTTGGAACTATTCATTTTTTGTGGCTGATTTTTTCTCTGATTTCAAACTTTTTCTTTGTCTCTAGGTTGTTTTGATAATTAGGGACCATATTAGGGCTTTTTCACTTATATAAAGTATACCCTAAATATATCCCCCTAAATCATTATAATCCTATATTTTGAGTTTTTTGTGGACTATTTTTTCTTGACTTCATTTCAACACATAGTGACCTACAACTTTCACATATTCGAGTACGAATACCAAACAATGTTTATTAAAACATACAATTAAATTAATGAATTAAAACTACCCTTATTCATTGTTGATAACTTCAACTTCAATTATCTCTAAAACCAAAGTTTCAACTTTGAGTGGCTTCTAAAATTCCAGTTATTAACCGATTCTCACTATTTTGACATATTGTGTGCTCGGCTGTCTATTCTACAATCCCATCAAAATGGATTTTTCATAAACTTTATACATTTGGAGTTATAATTTTTTTGGTGTAAATTTGCCGCATATTTCAAATGCCCTATTGACGATTTTTTTTTTACAGTAAACTATACTGAAAACCTATATTCTAATTTGATGAAGATCATATGCTATTCTGAGAGAATAATTACATTAAATGAATAATTAATGATGGTTCATATTTTTTATTCTGAATTGAAAATGTGAAGTTTTCAATTCTCAATTTTAAAATTAATTTTGATTCTCTTAGTTTTCAAGTTACGCTGTGATCATTTAGAAAAAGTTGGAGCATTTACCTAGTAAATTATGCAAAAAAATATTGGAAAGTGTTTGTGCAAGTTTTAAAAACTTATGTTAAATTATTTGTTGTCAAATCATTCATGTATGTATTGTGCAGTCTAAGGGTTAATGGGTTGGTTATATTTCAGAATTCTTCAAAATGCTCAAGCAGCCTGATGCATCCAATACAACAAATCAGAGAGTGTTTGTCTTTTCTATTTTTGAAGTAAAGGAAAATGCAACAGCTCCAGAAACTAAAAGTGAACTTCAAAAAATGCTTAAAAAAGGAGATGCCATTCCTTTCCACAAGAATGTGTGCGCCAAATGTCACAATGTACCGATGTCTAAAGTAAGTGAATATTCTGCTGTTGCTGAGTTATGTATTTGTTTTATATATATATATATATATATATATATATATATATATATATATATATATATATATATATATATATATATATATATATAAATGTGTGTAATATAATTTATTTAATTATTTATTTAATTAATTAATTATTTACACACACACACGTGTTTTACATTTGTCTGCTTGCAGGCGATGAGTCACAATAACGTGGCTGAAGTATGTTGACCAGACCACACACTAGAAATTGAAGGGACGACGACGTTTCGGTCCGTCCTGGACCATTCTCAAGTCGATTGTGTCTGCTTGTCTGCAACCGCTTTTTCAAAATTTCTTTCTGCCCCTCTCCTCACTGCCGTGTAGTTGTTTCTCGCATCTTTGTATCGCTGGTATGTTTGGGGGTTTGGCCTCTTCCTGTATTGATTCCATTTTTATGTCTTTTGGTCTCTGGCCTTCTCGCAATTTCTGTTGAAGCAATCCTGTTTCCTAGTTCTGCATCTGTTTTGGAATAAATTTTTTTGTGCCTTTATCATATATTTCACAAAACTTGACATACATCTCATTCAAGTTTTGTGAAATATATGTCAGTGTGTAGGACAAGCATATCAATTGTGACACTAGCTCTCCACATATGTCAATTGCCTAATTTAGAAACTGTACTTGTGGTTGATCTCGAGCCCATTGTGTATGAAACAAACATGCTGGAGGCAGTTGGACAGGAAGACTTCTGACATGAATTACAAATTTTCCAACAGACGAGGGCAGTAAACAGAGAAAATGTATCTGACTAGAAGAGTGTTACTAGTGGAGTACCAATGGACTACCACATAGTCTAGTTCTTGCACCAGTAATGTTCATTGTCCACTTAAACGATCTACCAGAAGGAATACAGAATTATACAAACGTGTTTGCAGATGATGCTAAGATAAGATACTGGGGAAGATAGGAGATGCAGACAATTGTAATACCCTTCAAGTCAATCTAGATAAAATAAGAGCTTGGAGTGTCAAGTGGCAGTTGGAATTCAATGTGAATAAATGCCATGTTATGGAATGTGGAATCAGAGAAAATAGACCCCACACAGCTTACAAATTATGTGGAAAGGAATTACAGAACTCTAATAAAGAACGAGACCTGGGGTGGTTTCGGATAGTAAGCTGTCGTTACAAAAAGAGACTTGAGATCTTAAACATGCTAAAACTAGAAGATAAAAGAAAGAGGTGATGTGATCACCACTTATAAAATACTAGCAGGAATCGGAGGAATTCCTGAAACCAGCAACTTCACAAACAAGAGGACAAGGATTCACGCTAAGGAAACAAAGTTACCAAAAAATATTTGAAAGTATTCTTTTGCAAATAGTGGTAGATGGTTGGAACAAGCTAAGTGAGAAGGTGTTGGAGGCCAAAACCGTTAGTAATTTCAAAACATTATATGACAGTACTGTACTGGGAAGACAGGACACCACAAGTATAGCTCTCATCCTGTAACTACACTTTTTCCTCTGGTGTTGCTGTGTCCGCACTGTAGCATACTCCCACAGCCTGCTATTTTTGAGCTATTTTATTGTACCATACAGAAGATGAAGAAACGACGACATTTCAGTTCGTCCTGGACCATTATAAAGTCATGTGTTCAACACATGACTTTGTAATGGTCCAGGACCCACTGAAACATCGTCGTTTCTTCATCTTCTAGTATGTGGTTTGGTGATCATATCTTCATCTACATTATTATGACTCATTGTTTGCAAACCATGCAGATTCTGAGCATTCCATGTTGTTTAATTCCACCTGCTGCCATTGTTTTCTCCCTTTTTCAAAAGTTGATATTATCTTGGAAGATGGAATTCCACTTTTAATTATGTTGTCTCACCCCATCTTTCGCTGAGCCCAATGATGTCAGGATTCTCAACCTCGGTATATTCAGTGTCAAATTTATTATATTTACTAGGCTTCTGGCAATTGTTTAATTGTGTTTACTAATATGTTCACTAGTTTTAATTACATTAAAATTTACTTATGTTAACTTCCAAATCGCTGCAAATTCTCAATGTGTACCTTAACTGCTGCCATCTTAAAGATTTGCTTAAATTGTTATGCATGTTAGTGGATTTGAATGAATGTACCACCCACTTGCCAAATTTGCAAAAGCCAATTGTATTATTTTGTAAAATAAGATACAGTATTAAATTTATAATTCCTCAATAAATAAGCAAATAATTTCCTTGCAGGAATGGGTTGCAGCTCCTGTGAAGCCTGGCATGTCTGTGTTTCATGTTGGAAAACGAAAGCCACCTTTTCACAAATGGGAACCAATTTATATTGGGACCAACAAAGAACCTTTGTATGATGAGCGACTGTCCTGGGAGGGTAAAAGTGACAAAATGACACAGGTCAGTACAATTAAATCCTTAATTTCTGTGACTAAGATCAATAGGTTGTTTGAAGGCAATTGCTAATGAAAGCTTAATACAGTGCCTAATGGACATACTACATACTAACTAAATATCTTCTTGATATTTGTTAGTTACTTCATTTCCGGTCTGTCTCTTTGGGTGCTCCCAGAGTTTCAAGTATAAGGAAAAATGATCTAGAATAAAAAAAAAAGGAAACTAGTAGTTTTACAATCTGCCATATTAATTACCTTATATTAGGCAATTAAATTGTCTTTAATTAAATTGTAGTCCTTGGTGACACAGTGGTAACACACTCACCTTTCAAGCAATTTGGTCTAGGTTAGTCCTGACCAGGGAGGATTAACTGGGTGCCAATAATTAACTGTTTGCCCCTGTTCACTTGGCAGTAATTGGGTATTGGCAGGTCATGTTCCATGGAAAACTATTTGGTATGACTGAGAAGGGAAAAGCTCTAAGGCTGCTAACAAGTAAGAAGTCATTTGTTCTGGTACCCCACTTGTGTTAAAAATAAATAAATAAATAAATTGGAAGAGTTGTTCCCAACTTAAAACCAAATCAATTCAACTGCTTTTTGTCAATAAAAATGCTCTTAATTATATTGCTGAATAAATAGTATCTAAAAAATTTCTATGGGTGTACACACTACTGCCTAGAAACACAATCACCAGACCACATTTCATATAGAAGTCAAATTGGTGTTGGAACAACACCATCATCAAACTGATTAATACACATTGCCCCACCAAAGTTCTTCTAAATAAAATCCCCACATCCTAGCGCCGCAAGGCCACCACAACGAGTGAGCCGGAAGGTCCCAGAGTAAAAGAAAAAAAAGGGTTCATGCCCAAACAAAGTAACTACATCCCATCCTCTTTCCTCTCCAACACCCACTCCCTCTTTTTCCCAGCACCTCTCCTTTCCTGGGTCCTGTGGCACAGTGGTAAGTGCAGTCATGTTACAACTATGGCAGGAAAGAAGTGCCAGGGCAATGGTTTCTTGCTATTCATACCCGTGTTCACCTAGCTGTAAATAGGTACACGAGAGTTAAACTGTTATTGTTTGCATTCTGGGAAGGTTCAATAGTTTTCCTACAAGGGAACATTCAATAAATCCTAAAGGCATCCTGTCCTTAACTATGGGGGTAAACAGTATCTCTGTCCTCCAACATATTCTGACTATCCATGTGTTTTTCCTTCTCCCACACTCCAAATTTTGGTGCTGATTCCCAGTAGATGTCTCTCACAGGTCTTGTACAACCTGAAAGCTTAGCCTCACCAGCAACTTAGACTTTGGAAAGCTACTTAGGGGCCAGCTAGAAGGGGGGGTTTATTATATAGGCATTATTTAGGCATTATTATATAGGCATTATTATATATTATTATATAGGCATTATTATATAGGCATTATTATTTATAGGCATTGTATGTACTAGCTCTTATCTATAAAGCCAACAAACTTTGTAAAATCTCTTTATGTATGTACCTTTGCCTAAATAAAAATTATTATTATTATTATTATTATATTCAATGCTTGATTTATGATTTTTCAATGATTAATTTGTGTTGAAATATTTTATGTAAAATTAAAATCTAACCGTTTTCATTGCTCAAGATGTTTATACTGTACTAATAATTAATTTGTAAAGATTTAAAAAAAAATCTCCAAGGAAAGAGATAAGAAAAGCCCTTGAGGAAAGTTCAGGAATCTGAAGTACAGTATTAATTTTGCTCCTCCCCCAAATTAAAACTCAATACTCATTATCTTAAATTATACCTAAAATGATGCACGTAATTCAGAGGTTTTGTAAATATATGCATATTGTACCAATAAGCAACTACTGTAATCTGATCTTTATTTTTTTAGAAAAAAAAATAATAATAATAATAGTAGCAATGTAAAGTTGAGCTTTTAAAATCATTTTAAATTAAATGCTTTATTTATATTTTAATTTATAAATATTTTACCCTAGCAGTTCTCCACTGTCTCCATCCAAGATGAAGGTACAGGTATTCAAATCATCACTTGGCTAATCCATTGTACTTGGTATTAACTTTTCTTTTCAGTTGTATCCGTTGTATCCTCTATCGCACTAATTTCCTCGTTAAAACTTTTGTAAGGCTTCCGGTAGTATAGTCAGGTTCGTTCTTAACTCACAATTGGGAATTTTGGGCTCGAATCCTGGGCAAGACAGAATTGGTTTGGTGAGTTTTCTATTGCCAAATTCTCCTGTTCACCTAGCTGTAAATAGGTACCCAGAAGTTAATCAGCTTGCTGTGGATTGCATCCTGCGGAGGGTCAGTTGTTCTACCTTGGGCGTGGATTTCGATACAAGTTTAACATATGGAATTATGAAAGAAAACTTGCCCAAAACATAGATCCTAAATCATTTTATGCCTATATAAGGAGTAAAACCAAAACAAAGGGCTCAGTAAGACCCTTAAAAGATGACTAACCAAATTATAATGGACGATAAAAGAGCAGCAAACATTCTCTAAATGAATATTTTACATCAGTGTTCACACTGAAAAGGTTAGATGACATCCCATCACCCACACAGATGTTTGAAGGAGGTGAAGAGAATGAATTTGAGGATATACCTATAATATGCGACATAATCAGGAAGAACATTGACAATCTAAGACTCAAAAGCCTCAGGTGTGGATGGAATCCAATTCAAAGTCATAAAGAAACTGGCAAAAGAACTATACCTACCACTTAAAATACTTTTCACAAAATCTCTGGACCAAGGAATAGTCCCCCCTAGATTGGAAGTGTGCAAATGTCACCCCTATTTTCAAAAATAGGCAAAAAGAGCTCGGTGGAGAACTACTGTCTAATCGGTTTGACATCACACATCTGCAAACACATGGAAAGAATCCTAAGGTAGGGAATCATTCACCACCTTTCAGTGAACAATCTTGTACAATCGACACATGGGTTTGTTAAAAATAGATCCTGCCTTATAAACATGCTCACATTTTTGGAAACGGTAAGCAGCTACTCATACAAAGGAATTCTGGTTGATGTAGTATACATGGATTTTGCTAAAGACTTTGATAAAGTACCACATGAAAGACTGGCAAGGAAATTTCAGGCACATCGAATAAATAATTAAATATTAGAATGGCTAAAACAAAGAAAACAGTTAGGCTAAATGAAATGAATCTGACTGGAGAAATGTGATAAGTGGGGTACCTCAGGTGTCTATTTTGGGGCCAACCCTTTTTGTCATTATACATCAATGACAGAATGTTACAAAACTACATCATCAGATTTGCAGATAACAAAGATTTATGGTAAAGTGGGAAATGATAATGATATTGAAGCCTTGCGAAGAGATATACATGAACTCCACAAATGGTTAGAAGACTGGCAAATGATTTTTAATATTGACAAATGCAAGGCCCTGCATGTGGGGCATAGCAACCCATGCCACAACTACCAAATCAATAATAATATATTACAGCAGATTGATGAAGAAAAGGATCTTGGCGTTATAATCTACCACTTGCTGAAAGTTGCACAACAGGTAATAATAAAACATATATGGCTAATATATAAGCAGTCAAAAAAGCTAACTAAACCCTTGGAATAATCAAGTGTACCTTTGACTTTAAGAAAAAGAACGTAGTGATTCAATTGTATAAATCTCTGGTGTATACCTCTTGGGGCCTGACAGCTGTGTGGACAGCACTTCGGATCCATCGGGGTTCGATCCCCGGTGGAGGCAGGAACAAATGGGCAGCGTTTCTTTCACCCTGATGTTCCTGTTACATAGCAGTAAATAGGTACCTGGGAGTTAGACAGCTGCTACGGGCTGCTTCCTGGGGGGTGTGTAACAAAAAGGAGGCCTGGTTGAGGACAGGGCCGTGGGGGATGCTAAGCCCCAAAATCATCTCAAGATAATCAAGATGCCCATCTGGATTACTGTATCTAAGCATGGAGACCACATCTTCAGAAGGATATAGCTGATCTGGAGAAAGTGCAACACTATCCAACAAAAATCATTCCAGAACAAAGTCAACTCTTGTGTCAGGAACGGTTGACAGCCACAGGACTAAGAACACTGCAAACCAGGCATGACAGGGCAGACCTCATTGAAACATTTAAAATACTGAAAAATTTGGAAGATGTTGATGCAGACAATTTCTTCAAAAGCTCTAATGTAACACAATCAAGGAGAAACAGTTTCAAGCACATCAAGCCGCAATGTGAGAACAGGAGATGCTTTTCCACCCACAGGGTTATAAACCCATGGAATTGCCAAAACTGTTAAATTTTAAAGTCCAACGGGGGAGAACATAAATACAAATCGGGCGGGGGAGGACCTTTGACAAGCCTCTGGCATTCTGTCCTTGACATGTGGCCCCTCAGTGTTAAATCAGTGTTAGTGGCCCTCGGGTAAATCAGGTTAATACACTGGCTGCCTGTCACCAGCACAATGAATTATTAATTATTATTAAAAGACCTTGTAACATCATAAAGCTCTGATTTTGTCATATCACAGCATTCATATTCTTCTTTATTGACTAGTCATCATTGTTTACTGCTCCATATTATTTCTGAAATGTCATTTGAACAGCCTGAAACTTTTACATACAGTACGTTTCTCATGCTGCCCTGTTTCACCCCTATTTCTGAGCCAAGTCCATCATATTTCATTTGTAAGCATTTAGTTATATATTCTTGAATACCATTCCTCTTCCTGCACTTGGTTATTGGAACCATTTCAGTCTTCTACCTTATTTTTACTTTTTACATTGTTTATACATTGGATATCAGTATCTTTATACATTGGATATTAATTGAAAATTGTAAAGTTAATATATTTTGATACTTTTCCAGATGTACATCTTGTGTGTTCGGGATTATGAGTTTCACATCCTTGATAATGCATTCTTGGTCCATAAGCCGGGTATCAAGAAAGTACACAAGGATCCATTTCGGGAGAAGATTGTGGCCAAGCAGAATAGTGCCATTAGCAGCAAGATTTTTCCCGAGTACAAGACAATCTTTGGTTTCCGTAAGAGCTGTGTTATATGATCTAAGTTTCAGTATATTTTTAGATTTTTCTTTATTTTAATGAAGCTAATTTTAATGCTAAAATGTAAGTGTTGCTGACCATTAATTGAATACATGAAGTCAAAATTTGAAACAATCAGTATACAGGTATAGTGTAAAATTTAATCTGAACCCTTGTGCATAGTTGTGAAGTGCATAAGAGAAAAACAGACCATATTTTTGGTAAAATAATTTATATGGAAGTGATCGCTTTCTGGCAAATAAAAAAAAAAGTTGTCTTCAATAGTAACATTTTCAGGAGTATTACTTCTAGCTAACCATATCAAGAGCTCTGTGATGATACATATGTAATACTGTATTCATGCTGTATATGCATATATTTTTTAAGTTCTGATAATGAAGTATTATGTGATCTTTATAACATTGTTTCTTAAAGTGATAAATTATCTAATGCATTTGGTAATTGGTCACCAACTGTATGTTCTTGAATGTGTATGGGCGGCCACTTGTGTGTACATGTTGTATGTGTGTTTGTGTCTTAAACTTTCTTTTTTAATGAGTTTGTAACAAAAGTTTTTAAATTTTGATATAGATTACCACTTTAATTACAAGTTTTCTAATGCTGAAAGGTTAGAAGGTGCTTTTCCTTACTGTAGTTAGAATGTTACAAAAAAATCCTTTCTAATAGTGTTACGGAAAAGATTTTGATGTGTGAGTTATACATTGATGTAAGGGTATTGTGTGTGCATATAATAATTTGTATATATTGATAGGTTTTAATGTATATATATTTATTGCCCAACTGTCTTCCGTCCTCCTTCCTTTGGTGCCTTAGATTAGGCTTGCACTGAAGACAGCAAAAATTTAATACATATTTTTTTGTAATCACAAGTGTGTCACATGTACTCTACAAGAGGTCCAAGAGAACGTGGTGCAGGTAGCCTCGTTTTCCATTAAGAATGAGATTTATGTGTATGGAGTAAATTTTTTGATTATCAGAAACTAATCATCTACATAGTAATTTGTCAGGGAAAATGAATGAAAAGATATAAAAGGAAGTCATGACAGGCAGGCAAACTGAGTAAATCACAATTTGAGTATCCTAAGCATCAAGAACACAAGTACCCATGAAGTGTGTGATGGGAGAGGTGCGAGGCTTGGCTCACAAGGAGGGTGTTCTGAGGGTTGATGTTAGAGTCCCAAAAATGGACAGTAAAAGGAACAGCATTAAGGTATTTTGAGCATGGAGAGGGGACCAAGTTATTCATTATCTGGTGCAGAAAGCTTGTTTGGCTTATCAAGTTTTCCCTAGACAGTGGCCGACCATCCCTAGGATGCATCCCACAGCAGTCTATTAATTTTCAGGTACCTGTATATTGCTAGTAAGGTAAGTATCAGGAGAAAGTGCTAAGCAAATGTTGAATAAATAGGAGAAAGCGCCAAGCCACCATGACTATACAGCGCTGAGTACTAAGCGAATGTGACTACTGTATATATTACTTGGGAGATGAACATAAGAATGAAGGTAACTGCAGAAGGCCTATTGGCCCATACGAGGCAGCTCCTATTTATATCCACCCAATCTCATTCATGTATATGTCTAACCTATGCTTGAAACAATCAAGGGATCCTGCTTCTATTATGTTATGCAGTAATTGGTTCCACAAATAGACATCCCTGTTACCGAACCAGTATTTACCCAGGTCTTTTCTAAATCTAAACTTACCCGATTTATACCCATTGTTTTGTGTTCTGTCTTGTGTTGATATTTTTAATATCCTATTACTGTAATATCCTCTTTGTTACGTCCATTCATCCACTTGTATACCTCTATCATGCCTCTATCATATATATGAGGATAGGATAGGAGCTGGGATATGAGGATGAAGTGAAAGAAGTGCCCAACCACTTGAACCATCAGGGTTTGAATGCTGACCCTGCAAGGTAAAAGGCATTTGTTCTACAGATCAGTCAAAGTGGATGGACTGCTATTAGGTGGAAAGAGGCATCAGTTATAAATAAATGTGCCCAAGATGTACATTTTGTCCTCAGGAATTGAACCCTAGCACCAATGTTTTGAGAGCCAATTGTGCTACCATTGTGTTGTAGGTTGGCAAGTGTAAAGGAATTGGTTAAATGGGGAGAGTGGCAAGAAAATTAGAAGCCTGTGGATAACAAGTTTATTAGTATGGAAAAGAGACTATTTACTTGTCAGTCACTGTGTTTAGTGACCCAGTTGTGCCAAGTGGAAAATGGTACATCAGATACAAAGGAATTTATAGACATGTTCTGTACTTATGCCTTGGCTATTGGCTTTGTTGATTAAGAAGTTAGTTTAATGCTAGTGATGTCTTCCCATCTTGGTGCCTTCTTTTGATAAATATTTACTTAATACCAGTGAGTTTGGAAAATTTATCACCTTTTCAGTGAAGTGAACCCATATGTTTATGTACTTTCTTTTGTGCTCATAGATAAACTTGAATGCTGTATTAATTAAACTGAAGTGATAAGTCTGCAATGTACCAGCTTGAAACAAGTACAGGACTGATAAACACTGTAAACGTCAGAAGTACCAACAGGTGTAGCAAGGGGTACAGTGCAGTGCAGTATGATGCATTAATTTTCATGAATAGATTTAGTTTTGTGTAAGATTCATGATTATCTAATCATGTGTTTATATTCAAGACAATAATAGACATGAAATGTAAATTCATAATCGATATTTTCTTTGAATAGTAAATTTAATCTTGTGTAATTGTTTAATTTCAATTTTATATCTTAAAAATACAAGATATTAATTAATTAATGTTATTCTTATCCTTTTCCTTTTTTTTTTTTAAATACCGTAGTTTGTTACTTCGTGTACGGTGAAGATATTTGATGCCATCAAAGACCCTTCAACAAAAACAATTTGAGGACTTGTTTTTGTCAAATTGAAAAAAAAGTTAATTACAGAAAACTACTTAATTACTATACATAAGGTGAATTAGCAAAGGAAAAATTTTCCCCTTTACAAAAAGATTTACATTTTTTCTTGCAATGTATTAAAAATAGCAATTGTAGGAAACTATAACAGGAATATTAAAGGCAACTACAGAAGGCCCTTTGGCCCATGCTTGACAGCTCTTATTTCCATCCAATGAAACTCCTATATACTGTGTACCTAACCTTCACTTCGTACAATTCAATGACCCCATATCCGATATCCAAACCACGTCAGAAAATGTAGATGACAACGTTTTGGTCCTCCTGGACCATTATTTTCTGATGTGTGGTTTGGATTTCATATCTTTGGCTACATTGTGACGTCTGCATCCTGTATCCATTTTGTTACACAGATCTTAACTGAACCTCTACTTTGTCAATTTATATCCATTGTTTCATGTTCTTTTTTGCATTGATAAATTTAGTACTGCTAATATCCATTATTTTCAAACAAATCACATTAACGTGATATATATCAATGCAAAAAATCCATTAGGACTATAGATAGGTGGGAAAATAAAGACTATAGTGGTAGAGTACGTGACTGGCAATGTCGGGGTCATAGGTTCGTGCCCACCTATAGTCCTAGTGGATTTTCTCGTCCATTATTTTTTTATACCCTTTCATTTGTATACTGGTCTTCAATCATTACTCTGCATCCTTCTAGGGAATGTAAATAAAATTTTCTTAATCTCTTTTCATAAAAAAAATTCCAGTTCCTAAAATTTGCTTTATGGGTCAACTCTGTACCTGTTCAAGCGAATTTGTTCTATAAAACTGGAAGAACATTATATTTTTGTATTGAATTATAGAACTATAATTATGGAACACTTCTAGAATTATATGAATTATTATTTTTATCATTGTTATTATGGAATGGATAAAACAATGGTTAAAACTAAGAAAGCAAAGGGCCATCCTAAATGTAAATAAATCTGACTGGAGAAATGTGGCAAGTAGGGTACTGCAAAGTTACATTTTAGGGCCAACCCTTTTTTGTTACATATGTAAATGACATATGAGGATATTACAAATCATATGATAAAATTTGCAGATGACACTTAAGTTTTTTGATAAAGTAGGAAGTGAAAATTATACTGAAGCCTTACAAAGAGATTTACATGAACTCCACAAATAGTCGGAAGACTGGCAAATGCTTTTGAATGCTGAAAAATGAAAGACCTTGCATATGGGAAATAAAAATGCACATCACAACTACCAAATCAACATTACCTTCCAGCAGATTGACGAAGAAAAGAACCTTGGAGTCAGAATCCACTAATTGAAAGTTGCACAAGTGGGAGCTGCAGTAAATAAATCTCGCCAAATAAATAAAGCTAACTTTCTAGCCCTCTGGTGCTCCCACATTTACATAATATAAGAACAAAAGTAACTGCAGAAGGCCTATTGGCCCATAGATGATGATTGATAAAGATTAAGCCATCCAAAAGGTGGCCTGGGCATGAATAGCCCGTAAGTGGTGGCCCTTTTGAGCCATTACCAGTATCAGGAGCTGATGCTGGAGATCTGTGGAGGTGCGACTGCACCCTGCATGACGGGAGATTGGCCCATATGAGGCAGCTCCTATTTATAACCACCCAATCCCACTCATATACATGTCCAACCCACTCTTGAAACAATCGAGGGACCCCATCTCCACCACGTTATGCGGTAATTGGTTCCACAAATCAACAACCCTGTTGCCGAACCAGTATTTACCCAAGTCTTTCCTAAACCTAAACTTATCCAATTATACCCATTGTTTTGTGTTCTGTCTTGTGTTGATACTTTTAATATTCTATTAACATCCCCCTTTGTTATGTCCATTAATTCACTTGTAAACCTTTATCATGTCACCCCTAACTCTTTGCCTTTCTAGTGAATGCAGTTTAAGCTTTGTTAATCTTTCTTCATATGAAAGGGTTCTAATTTGGGGAATTAACTTTGTCATCCTATGCTGGACAAGTTGAAGTGAATTTATAACCATTCTATAGTAGGGCGACCAAAACTGAACTGCATAATCTAAATGGGGCCTAACCAGAGCAAGATATAGCTGAAGAACAACACCAGGTGTCTTGTTACTAACTCTTTGATTAATAAGTCCCAGGAACTGTTTGCTTTATACGAACATTCATGCATTGATCTTTTGGTTTTTAAATTCTTAGTAATATTTGGACTACTGCATACTGCAAACCAGAGAGGACAGGTCTGATCTTATCAAAACTCTTTAAATTACTGAGCAATTTGGAGGATATTGATCCATACAACTTCTTTAAAAGGTCAAATGCAACGCATACAAAGAGCAACGGTTCCAAGCTCAAGCCACAATGGACAGAAAACAGAAGATGCATGTTCACCCATAGAGGAATAAACCCATGGAGCCGCCTACCCGCCGATGCCGTAAAAACCAAAACATTGCTGAATTTTAAAATCCTGCTCGATAAAATCATCAGGACAAATGGGGAGACCTTTGATGAGCTGCCGGCTTCCAGTCCTCGTCCTCGAGACCACCAAAGATAGTGGCCCTCAGGAAAATTCAGGGTTTTCTGTATATATACACTGAGAGTTCAGGATTAAAGTTCTTGCTGGTAGATCAGTAAGCTGTAACTGTTGCCTTAATAACTTTCCATAGGCTGATAGACTTGAGTACAATAATTCATTTAATTAAATGTATCAGTGTGTAACTTAACAAATAATTGGCAACAATAACAGTAGAATAAGTAACTATTGGCGATGAAGAATAAAATACAATGAAATAATTGACACAAAGACTAACTTCCTTAGCTTAAATTAATTTTGCGATTTAGTCCCTGATCTCATTATGTGCCTCTGTAACCTTTACCACCACCGCCCACAGGATGAGTATGGGGTGAATAATAAACTAATCTGTAAATAAGTTAAAATTAATTGACAGTGGGAATTAATTGCCCATGAAAATCTTGACAATGTTAAATTAAACTGATTAATTTGGTAATGTTTTATGCACGATTAGTTAGGGATAGGTGTAGGCTCGAGGGTTTTGGAAGTCTAGCACGGTCCCGGTGGCTCATTATCTGGTGCAATGTTCTCCGTCCCAGTCGGGCTCTTGTTTCTCTGCATGGCGGGTCCACTTCGTATCATTTCCCTCTCCTCCTCTGGTAAGTCACACGTTTTCCTTCTGCTCTGTTGTTAGTTAGCTTCAGGGAGCCACCGGCTCCTCCGGAAAACATGCATTGAGTAAAATGAGACGCCTCTTAATTTTGGTAAAGTTTTGGTGGCCCTTGAAATCCTGCCCTCCTTGGTCGTTTAGCTGCCTCGGTGCTTCGTTTTCTTTGAACCAATGAACCTTGAAGGTTCTGCATTGCTTCGCTTATTTTCTGGATGTTATCTCGGTAAGACTGATCTTAACAATTCCCTGCTGCTTGTGGCTTTGTGAGGGGGGGGGGGCAGGTTCTGGCTCTGGTCCTCGATAACCCATAGAGGATATAGACAGGCGTAGACAACTTATATGGCTGATGTGACTCAGTAGTAGTATAAATAATAAATAAATAAATAAATATGTTTATTCAGGTAAGGTACATACATACAAGTGATGTTACATTAATGGATTGATATATAGATAGAGCTAGTACATACAATGCCTAAAGCCACTATTACGCAATGCGTTTCGGGCAAGAAAAACATTAATATCTAGAACTTAATACTAATTGAGCATAAAGAATAAAAAGTGTTGAAAACAAATACAAATAAAGATAAAAAAAGGGGGAACATGACTGAAAAAGCAGCACAAATACAATAGGTTGACAAACAGTGTTGATTAAAAAAAAATATAATAATAATAAAATAAAATAACAGACATGGGTTGACAATAAAGGAGTGAGGTGGGTTACAGGGAATTTATTAGGTATTGTTTAGTTTTTATCTTAAACTGGTTGAGAGAGGTACAGTCTTTAACATGGTTGGGAAGGTCATTCCACATTCTGGGTCCCTTGATTTGTAGAGCATTTCTAGTTTGATTAAGTCGTACTCTAGGAATATCAAAACTGTATTTATTCCTGGTGTGGTGCTCATGGGTTCTGTTACAACCTTCAATGAAGCTTTTGAGGTCAGGATTGGCATTACAGTTCAGCGTTTTATATATGTATAATACACAAGAGAGAATGTGCAGTGACTTAATATCTAACATATTCAGAGATTTGAGTAAGGGTACCGAGTGATGTCTGGGGCCAGAGTTGGTTATTGTCCTAATAGCAGCTTTGTGTTGGGTAATGAGAGGACGTAAATGATTTTGGGTAGTAGAACCCCAAGCACAAATACCATAGTTGAGGTATGGATAGATGAGGGAGTAATAGAGAGTAACCAGAGCAGGGCGGGGTACATAATATCTGATCTTAGAAAGAATGCCAACAGTTTTTGAAACTTTTTTTGATATATTTAGAATGTGACCCTGGAAATTCAGCTTGTGGTCGATGAGAACGCCAAGGAATTTGCCATCTAATTTGTTACAAATTTGGGTATTGTTTATTTTGAGATTTATCTGATTAGAGGATTTATTGCCAAACAGAATATAAAACGTTTTGTCAATGTTAAGGGTGAGTTTGTTGGCAGTTAGCCAAAGATGGACTTTCTCTAGCTCAGTATTTACTGTGGCATTTAGAGCAAGGGGGTCAGGACTGGAGTAAATGAAGGTTGTGTCGTCAGCAAATAGAATTGGTTTGAGGTGTTGGGAGGCATTTGGAAGGTCATTAATGTAGATGAGAAAGAGGAGAGGGCCAAGTATGCTGCCCTGAGGAACACCAATGTTGATGGGTAGGGTGGGAGAAATTGTATTATTCACAGAAACATACTGGAGCCTGTCAGTAAGATAAGATTTGAGGTATTGCAGGGAGTGTCCTCTGACTCCATAATGATGTAATTTAAGAAGAAGGTTTTGATGGTTGACAGTGTCAAAAGCCTTACGCAGGTCCACAAATAACCCAACAGGAAACTCCTTTTTATCAAGAGCTGCGTGAATTACGTTAATCATACTAATAAGTGCATCGTTAGTGCTTTTTTTGGGTCTGAAGCCATATTGACAAGAGCTAAGTATATTGTGTTTGGCTAGAAAAGAGTAAAGCTGCTTGTAGATTAGCTTTTCGAATATTTTTGACAAGTTAGGCAGGATTGATATAGGTCTATAGTTGTTAACATCAGTGAGATCACCACATTTGTAGACAGGGGTTACTCTTGCTTTTTTTAGAATGTCAGGAAAGGTTTGGAGTTCAAGTGACTTGTTGAAGAGCAATGCAATAGCAGGGGCTAGAGATCTGGAGGCTTTTTTGTAAATTAAAGTTGGTATCTCCTCGAGGGCACTAGACTTGGTTTTAAGGGAAAGGATTATTTCATTGACATCAGTGGAACTAGTAGGCTTTAGGTACAGAGACTGTGGATAGTTACCTGTAAGATAGTCCTTAACATCAGTACAGGAAGATGGAATATCATTTGCAAGGGATGACCCAATGGAAGAGAAGAACCTATTGAACTCAATAGCAGAATCAGAGGCTGAAAGCTGACCAACGTTATTGGAAAGGAGTGTTGGTTTGTTATTTAAAATCTTCTTTGATCCCAATATTTGTGAAATTGTGCTCCAAGTTTTTTTAATGTTGCTCTTTATTTGGGTAAATTTATCTTCATAGTATTTAGTTTTGGCTCGTCTAATTATTTTAGATAGCAATAACGAGTAATTCTTTGAGAAATCTTTGGAGACTGTTCCTAGCCTATACTTCTTCTCAAGGTCGTGTTTTTTGTTAATGGATTTAAGTATTCCCTTTGTAAGCCAAGGATTGTTAAGTCTTTTGCTTGTGACTTGTTTTGTAAGCATAGGACAGTGGGTGTTATAAAGACTAAGAGTTGTTTGTAGAAAAGATTTCACTGCTAGGTTGATGTCCCCTATGTTACCTAACTCGGACTCCCAGTTGACATTATCAGCAGCAGTTATAAAATTGTTTATAGCAGTTTCATTGTGCAGCCTAAAGCTTAACTCCCTTGTCTCTAGAGGTGGTTTGCTAATGTTAGTTAAGAGAAATGTGGGGTAATGGTCTGTAGTGCTATCGGTGATTATACCTGAAGTAAGCGGAGAGGTTATGTTGGTCCAGATGTGATCTAGAGTCGTAGCAGTAGTTCTAGTAGATCTAGTAGTCGATCTAGATCTAGATCTAGTAGTCGTAGTAGTAGTTGACTCAGTAGTAATAAACACCTAATCTAACCTACGCCTAACTATACATATAAGTTTTATGTATAATATTACTTTATATATGAGAACAAACCAATTTTTAATACCCATTGTTAAAATTGACGAATGCGTCTGGAAAGGACGGGCGCTGCTTTAAACAGCCTAGTGTGAGAACGGGTTGTTTCATTACATTTAATGGTGTAATGCATTTTTTCATTCAAATTCTCAAGTCGATTGTGTACATACATGATGATAGTTTGATGCAAATATATACATATATATATAATATAAAATATATACATATATAAAATATATATATATAAATAAATATAAATAAAATAAGCCTTGCCCGGGGAACAAATGGTGTAAAAAATTCATATGTAACTACTAAAGACGACGTTGAGGTGTAGAAGGCCATTCTTAATGTCACGCAGGATCTCGAAGTCTCTCATATTCCTGGAAGTCTCCTCACCCCTTTCATAAGTCATCTTCACTAGTTTCTCCGTTGTATTGTTGTCGGGTTGAAGTCCTTGGTCACCAATAAAGTTCTTCATGTGGAGCATAAGAACGTTCAGGTTACGATCCACTTGGTCTATCTGCTGGACGGAGACGTTTGAATAGAGGGACTGGTCAAGGCTGAGGAACTCGAGGGCCACAGTGTAGTGCTGCATCAGACCGTATATTCTTACCAGTTCGTAGTTGAAGTCAAGGGGAGAGTAAGACCCTGCGTCCGGCAAGTCTGGCAAGAAGGGTTCCTCAACTGTTCCCGGTGGGTATTGTTCATCAGCATCCTCCCAAGACATGTGTAGTGTGGACATAACCTGGTTTAAACAAAGAAGGAAATTACATTTTCAGGTTTAGGAAGGCTGACAAAATATGATTAGTCTGTAATTATTCGACACTGGTAATCTCTCGTACAACAAAAACGTTTCTGAACTTCGATTTCCTATTTTGACTGTTGACAATACACCAATAAAATGGTAGTTTATATAATGAATGAGTACTTACGAAGTCATCTTTAAAGTCATCGATGCTAGAGAGACATATCATAGCATCTTTTATAAGGATACTGGCCATGTCTGCCACTGAACCCACTGTGGATATCTGCGACACCTTCACTACCTCCTTTTTCTTCTCTCCAAACGATGCCTGATCATCATGGTTTGTTGCAGCTTCCTGGTTTTCGAAATCGGACTCTCTCACTAATGACCATTTTATTATCAGTGGGTCTTGTGAGCGGTGTATGTTTTGATTGTCTGGCCGTATGGTGCCGTGAAGATTTATAGAATCTTTGAGGTTATGGCTGCTTTTTGTGTTTTGGGTTGTGGATGTGATGGAGTCTTGTGTGTTTGGTGCAGGGAATCCATTGCTAACTTTAGCGTCTGTTGAATCCTGGTTTATTGATGAGTCTGTTGCCATGTCTGTGATCCTGGGCTTAGCTGAAGATATGGTAATAGAGCGATCGTCATCCAGGGCTGTGTTGGGAGCAAGACAGCACAACGGAACCATTACAAGGAAGATCACGCGCAGGTCTGTTGGATAAAATAACTACAGGATAAAAACGTTCTGTAAATAAGCTAATGCTCGTGCTGAAATTACATGTACATTATCCATTGTTTAACATATAGGGAATGTGGCGTGAATTCAGCGACTGTAGGTGTATTGACCGTGGGTGAGGCAAGTGCCGGTGTGGTGACCGTGGGTGTGGCAAGTGTGGGTGTGGTGACCGTGGGTGAGGCAAGTGCCGGTGTGGTGACGATGGGTGAGGCAAGTGCGGTGACCGTGGGTGAGGCAAGTGCGGTGACCGTGGGTGAGGCAAGTGCGGTGACCGTGGGTGAGGCAAGTGCGGTGACCGTGGGTGAGGCAAGTGCGGTGACCGTGGGTGAGGCAAGTGTGGTGACCGTGGGTGAGGCAAGTGCGGTGACCGTGGGCGAGGCAAGTGTGGTGACCGTGGGTGAGGCAAGTGCGGTGACCGTGGGTGAGGCAAGTGTGGTGACCGTGGGCGAGGCAAGTGCGGTGACCGTGGGCGAGGCAAGTGCGGTGACCGTGGGCGAGGCAAGTGCGGTGACCGTGGGCGAGGCAAGTGCGGTGACCGTGGGTGAGGCAAGTGCGGTGACCGTGGGAGTGGCAAGTGCGGTGACCGTGGGAGTGGCAAGTGCGGTGACCTTGAGTCACAACACCCAACTCACACCGCACCTCACCCTGCTGCACACATCACAGCAACCTCAACCCCATACTATACAAGGCTGTCAGGAATATTTTCTAAACAATCAAGACTGTAACTTGCTTAGCTAAACAAATTTATAGGTTAAATTCCAGAGTGCATTTTGTGCCTCAGAAATGTGTTCGACAATGGGTCCACCTGTTGCTATTGGAGGCTCTTCTGTCCAGAGTTAGTGCTCCAGTGATTATATCTTTAAGTGAATTGATTCTAGGTCTAGTCAATATCAATATCTTATCCCTTTTACCCTTATTTCAATCGACGTTAAATTGGTTTCTAGTCTTAGGCTCAGTATTTTAGTCCATCTGGGAGGTCCTGTTATGACTCACAATGCATCGTTTTGAATAACTTCAACGTTTGTCCACTGACCAGGAGAAAGAGTGATTAAGGCAGGCGCTGCATAATCAACTAGGGAACGAACGGCGTGTATGTAAAACATTCTTAACACTTTGTGTCCCGCTCCTAGATGGCGCCCTGTGATTGCTCTCATTATATTTAGTCGTGATTTTGCTTTCTCCTTCAGATATTGAATTTGCTTGTTGAATGTCATTTTAGAATCTATCCACACTCCGAGATATTAATATTGTGTAACCCACTGAAGGTTAATGTCTTGAATGCGTAGGTTCCTGTCTGGAACCTACGCATTCTTGCCGCCTAGTCTCATTGCCTTAGACTTCTGTGTAGATACTTTTAGCCCTAAAATGCTGTATTCAGATGTTACTTTATCTAATGCACCCTGTGCTTTATTTAGAAGTGAATTACCTGTAATGACTAATACTATATCATCAGCATAGCTTAGCAATTTAACCCCTTCTGCAAATGTCATGGTAACGAGGTTTTCCATAAGGATGTTAATTAAAAAGACTAGGACTGAGGACTCCTTGTGGAGTCCCATTCTCATGCAAGTAGTAGTCCGACACTTGTCCTCGCAACTTTACTCTGGCATACCTGTGACTTAGGTAATCTTGAATCCATGCTAGCATGTTTCCCTTTACACCTTTTTTAACTAAGGTGTGTAAAATGGCTTGCAAGTTCGAATGCTTTTTCTAGATCAAGGAAGATCACTATAGTTGGACCCGAGTTAACTGTTCCTAGTAATGTTGCTATGCAGTTGGCAGTACCGACTCCTCTAGTGAAGCCAAAAATGTGTTTATGCAGGTCTCCAGTCTTCCACAGTAGCCTATTTAAGACCATCCGTCCCGCAGTTTTACTAATGCATGATGTTAATGAAATGGGTCTGTAATTGCCAGATTCTTTCGGCTTAGGAATCGGAATGTTCATTTGATGCTGTTTATTGCCACCTCAGTATCACTCGAAAAGGCGAGACCTTTTTAGTCCATGCTAAAGAAAAAAAAATCCGTCCAAAAACGCGTTGTTTCAGAAAATAACTTATTTGGAAGAAAGTAAGAGTAAAGTGTTTTATAATACTGAGGTTAGTTTAACGAATCTGAAAAAAACTTGCTTCGGGTCAACTATAAGCCAGTGTGAGCAAATTGGTGATTATTTCAGTTGAACGTGAAGTTGCAGAGACAATGGACATAGAAAAAAAAATTCATGGATTTTTGTGTTATAAAAATCGGAAAATTAAAGTAATCATTATACATATCAATAGTTATCGTGGACGTTATGTAGTGTATATTACGTGCACATTATGTTGAACTGTTAAAACTGAAGTGGTGACTTTAAATAAAGTTATTTAACTTTTCTTCCAATAAAATGTTTTGTTTGCAAGTGTGTTTTTTGGCGAAGGAATTATGTTGTTAATGTGAACATTGTTACAGGGTGCGGGGGGGGGGGGGGGGGTCAAGGGTAATTTGGCCCGAGCAGCAAAAAGTATTGGTAGGCTTATGTATAGCCTCCGCTCCAATGGACAGCGAGGCTTGTTGTTGTTTAAGATTCGCTACCTGGAACAAAACGTTCCAAGTAGCACGGGCTATGGTGAGCCCGTAGGACAGGGAGGCGATCACATCCATACGAGGCATCAAAATATGTTCCGTTTAACACCTTATGGAATGCTATTCATTGAAGCGCAGTGATCAGCGTAGTTATATCACGAACGAAAGTTCACAGGTTCGACTCTCGCAGCAAGACAACGACGTTTGGGCATATTTCTTTTCACCCGATACTTCTGTTCACCTAGCAGCAAATAATTACTAAGTATTAGGCAGCTATTGTTCGGTGTGTCCTGGGGAAGGTCAGTAGTTGACCTCGATAAGTCCTAAAAGATTTCCGTCTCCCACAATGGGAAACACTGCACTCGCCCGTACGTGCACTCGCCGGTACACGCATGCCCTCGCTCGTACGTGCATGCCGTCGCTCGTACGTGCACACACTCGCCGGTACGTGCACGCACTCGCCCGTAGGTGCACGCACTCGCTCGTACACGCACGCATTGGCCCGTACACGCACTCGTCTGTACACGGGCTCAGCGCGCACACACATCGCCTCTCCCGTTCAGCTTTTATAACTTGGTTTCAGCGGAGCACTCTTACGCGGAAGCATAGTAAAGATGTTACTATACGTGCAGACAGCTTCTCAATGGCCGTCGGTGGGGGGCGGAAGTCTAATATATGAGGGAGCCTCTTGCAAGACCAGGGCAAGACCCCAGATTAACGCGTCACTGCCTTTCCTCTTAGCATATCTCGTGTGCTCCACAAAAATAATTTAATGCTGCTTAATCCTCAAAGATTTAATCATATCTTATTGTTAAAAAAACGATTAAGAGGTAATACTTTTTACTTCAACTGAGATTTTACGTTTTAAACTTTATTACATGTCATTTAAACGATAAAAATAGTCTTTAATGAGTAGTTTCTGTGGCCGTCTCCAAGTTCTGTGCATCACTGATCGACTTTATTATCCCGATGTGATTGCTTTTATTATAATTAATAAGGGTGGGTACAGAGCATTGATTGTTGCCGCCGAAGGCGGCTAGTTTATAGTGCACCCCATACTCATCTTGTGAGCGGTAGCGCAAAAGCATTACAGAGGGCACAAAAGGTCTTTATCAGACCTCATCTTAGATTATTACATAAGCAATTTTATCTCTCCTTCACACCTTATAGTTACAATGTCAGCTAGTTACAGAGAAAGTGCTATTTACCGATAATGTAAGGTACTGCAACCAGATAGAAGTAATACTAATTCGTTTTGTCGGGGGCAGGAAGCCTTTGTGTGTAGGGTATATTCTTTAGGCTTGTATCGAGGCCCCCTAAGGTCGAAGCACTTGACCCTTTCCGGGTTGCAACCCTTAAACATTTTTCACAGCACCGCACCTGTGCCAGATAAGTCCACCAGGGGCTCACCATAGCCCGTGCTACTTGGAACTTGTTCCGAATAGCTGAATCTATAACAACTTAAACATTTGCTTAACTTACAGATACCTATTTGCTGCTAGGTGAATAGAAGCGTTCCCATCCATTTTTGTCCCGCCCAGGAATCGAACCCGAGATCTCCGATCGAGAGTTAAGCACGAGGCGAACTGTAATACAAAAAGCATTATCCGTGCTTCTGTATGTGTAGTGAGAGCCTTTGTGTGCGAACTTTGCTTCACTTTTGCAGTACTCAAACTGTGGCTTTTGTCTTGGTTTTACTTCTTTTTTTAAACACGAGATCTTAAGGTTTCTAGCAAGTTTTCTTTCTCAAATTATTTTGGCTGCCTTTAATGGATTTTTGTATATCTCTTAATCAATGTGATTCCTAATATACTGATACTTCAGCGGTTGAGCAGGTTAGACTAGTATTTTATAAAAGCGTTACAGTTACCTTCTGTGATTAATTGTTCAATGAGTGAATTATATGTATAACAGATCTCTAACCGTCCATGGAGTACAGAAGAAAATGTTTATATGCTGGTTAGCATTGAAATTTAATGGCCATGTTTGTGGCAGAAAATATTGTAAAAAAAAATCTTTACCTGCCCTTGTCATTCATCTAGTTCGTCTTCCTCTAATTCTTGGCTCATATCTTCTGGCTTAAGTACATCAAATATAAGACACAGCCTATACAGCCTACGGAAACAATATTCTAATCTAAAAATATCCTCAAAATATAGTAATACAAAAACTAGTATCAGAAAATGCATAATAAAAAAATACTTTTTTTTCCGCTATGTCAAGTGTCTTAAAACTTTGAAAGTGACTTTTATATGAATGTCTTTTATCTTGATAAAGTTAGACTTCGGCAGCACGTCAAGGAAGATTAAGGAATTATAAGTTATCGTGTTATCTCTGCAATTTTACTGATTGTGTAGTTAATCTGATATCCAGGTTCTCTGCTAGCTAGCGGTCCGTGGCGATATTTGAT